CCAAAAATCTCCATGTTTAACCACTTGCTTTTTGCATGATTTATGAGGAAACTCCATGAAATGGAAGGATTGGAACTTAACCCCCATGTTTTATGATTTATATTTTTCATTTTTGTCATGGATCTTTTTGATGATTTCATAAGGTCCAATGTATCGGCTTGCTAACTTGCCTTTAGCTCCAAAATAGGTTTGCCCTTTCATCGGTGTTTGGTAATCTCGGATTACTGGCCGGTTACGTCTCTAATCCCGTGGGACAAGGGTTGGATTATGATACCAGCAGCCTTGCCTTGGCCGCCTGACGGATCTCTATTCATTTTACTGTCATATTTTCTTTCAGTATGACTTCGTGGTGATCTCTTCCTCTATCCACTAGTTTATTCATATCCCAAATATCTCTATCATTTTTTTTTACTCGAAATCTTTTTTTTTTTTTTTTTTTTGCATGTTTCTGCTCCACTTTGTCTTTCCCTCTGTTTCAACCTCAAATAGTTTTCTATCTTCAAACCCGTTTGAGTTTGAGGGGGGTATTATATCTATATCATGGTAATCATGGTGATATACCATGTGAACCACCTAAGCCGTCCTATTTGGCGCACAACCCAAATTGCCCCTTCTAATGCACAACCCAAGTCTCCCCCTTGGCGCACCACCTAAGCGGCCTCCTGGCACACTTTCTAATAAGTCGCCCCTTGGCACACTCAGTCATCTGTTGCCATCATCGTTTAGCTCCACGCCATAAGTTATGTGTGTGCCACACTTGCTGGTTCAACATCCAGTTAGTCTCTACAATGGTCCGATATGACTCCTTAAACTGTCCCGACATTGATTTCGGTTAGTTCCTACAACGGTCCGGCATGCCCCTTTAATCTGTTCCGACATTGATTCTAATCAGTTCCTACAACAATACGGCATGACCTCTTTAAACTGTCCCGACAATGATTCCGGTTAGTTTCTTCTAGGGCAGTTCAGTCCCTGTTTTTTTTTCCTCTTTCTAGGATATGGTGCTGATGTATTAAGCACTTTTTTGGCCTTTTTTATTTAGTGAACTACCAGATTTGTTCGGTAGTATTTATTTGGACTAGCCGTTGAATTTTTTCTTACTTCTTACGATCATCCATTAGCAAGTCGCGATTGTTGAATATCTTTACACCAGCTTGAGGGACAGTGTTGAATATAGAAATTAGAGTATATAGAATCTTTTTATTTTTAGTATTATGTATATAATCTGTAATTGTGTCAATCACTAATTTAGTATTATTTCCTTATTTATATCTTTTCCTAAATTGTATCATGAATCTATTATATATACATAACATCTACCTCATTCATTGATAAGCTAAATAATTCACTGCTGGAAAACAAACTTTTAGTGGCGTTTAAAAAACGCCGCTATAAGGGCCAAAAACGCCGCCAATTCCTTTTGCGACGCTTAGCACCAAACGTCGAGGACGCGGCCGTCGCTATAACTTTGTGACGTTTTGAAAACGTCGTGATATTAGTATAGGCGGCGTTTTTAAAAACGCCACCAAATGTCCTCCTAAGCACATGCTGACGTCACTGACGATATTTAACGACGTTTTGGAAAAACGCTGTCATATCTTTTTTTAAAATATGACTGTTAGCAAGTAGGGTTTAAGAGGCGTTTGTAGAAACGCCGTCATATCCCTCTTTTTTCTTTTTTCTTTTTTTGAAATTGTGCTAATTTTATTTGATTGAACTAAAAAAATTCCTGTAATAGCACTAACATAAAATAATAACTCCCATTCAAATAGTTGTAATGAAGCATTAATTCACTTTCTCAATCAATTAATATCCAATCACCATTATCCACAAAATCAACATATCTAATATCCGAAATCCAAAAATCATGTTTTAACATTAACCACAAACTAACATATATCCAAAAATCATGTCTTAGCATTAAACTTGTAGTCTTCACTGGTCTACATGCCTGCATCAGAACATAAGCTGCAATCAGATTCACCAAAATAAACACAAATTGAAGAATTTGTACCCAATACTTATAAACAATACTTAAAACTTGAAAAAACACTAACAAAAGATTTTATCATATACCAAGAAGCACTAAATACATATAAAGAAAAGGACATACCCAAAGACAATACAGACACATGAGTATCATGTAAAATTAAATAAATAATGCTCTCATAGCACAAACAAATTTAGAGGCCATTTGATCTAACTCCCACTAATTGTGTGCTTCTTTGTTTTTGTTATATCCTCACATGATGACACAATTGTGTTAAATAAATGTACTAGAGGAAACAAAGAGCACTTCATCATGTAGTAAACATGTCAGTGTAACACATACAGAAATAATACGGATTATTAACTTACATTAACTGATTGGTTGGTTGAACTGACAAGCCTGAAATTCTACGGCACTGAACATGCTTCTTGTGAACAAGTTCAACCTTAATGCCTCTGAGAGCTCTCTTGACTTGATAATAACAAACAAAATCAGTTCCAGTAATTTGGAAAGAGAAAACATTAAACCTGAAATATTAATATTGACCAGAAATACAACCACTACCACCCAAAAGAAAAAATAGTAAAATGCTTATAAGAATAGCATCTAGTCATGGAAATCCTATTTCTTCACCTTCAGTCTATATCGTAACCCTCAGTTTTGTTCCATCTTAGCCTAAAATATTTAGTATTCACTTTTCAACAAATTAATATAAAATCCTACTGTATGTCGTGAGGTATAGCTACCAAAAAATACCTTAAGACATTCTTGATCTGATAGAGGCCTTATCAGATCCTTAACATTGAAATACTTTGCAACAAAGTCAGTAACAAGAATGGGTTCGTAGAATGCTCTGGCTGACATATCTGCAAAACAACATTCAGATGTCCGATTAAGAATGATCAACAACATCATAATTTTTGGAGGAGGCCCATAATAACCTCAGCCAGTGCTATATATTTCATAAAATATGGGAAGAGGGAGTGGAGAATTGAAAAATATTTCTACCAATATTAAGGGAGAGACCCATCTGAATAGGACGAAGACTTTGATAGAATCCTTTCCAATATTGAAATCCATTTCCAAGGTCACCTACACTAAAGCTTGGAGAGAAGAATGACTTTCCCACAACTACATTACTGCAATCAAAAGCTTCAAAATCAATCACCCCAGTTCCCAGAAATTGATATACCACATGACCAAGATAAAAAATAAACAAAACAAGAGTTCAAACCAAAAAAAAAAAACTTAATAATAGTTATTGGTCAATGAGAGCAATCACTCATCGATAGTGTTTCCCTTAAAACCACATCAAGAACTTGTATAGTTTCTTGTGGGGTATCAAGTTGTCTACCATGCATGAATTCTTGAAGATGATGTATGTCAAGTTTAGCAGCAAATTTGATTGAGACCTTAAATTCATGATCCTTTCTGCAATTAAAGCAAGCATAGCATTAACTTCAACTAAAGCATACCATATTTTCTTGTTGGCACAAATTTGCATCTAGATAATGACATAAGAGCCACCATCTTACTCAAAATCAATAAGAAAAAGATTAAAGCTAGTTTTCCATTTGAGTTGAAAAGAAATTGATAATAAGGTTACTATTTTCAATGCTCTTCACCAATCACACTTCAATAAAGACATATATATACAACTCAACTATAACAAATTGTAATGAAACCACAAAATAGAGATAACCTTGCTCCTCTATCTTGGTCGACGAGCTTGATGACAAAGTCCTTGGAAGAAAAAGGCAAAGGCCTAGCAGTGTAAACACTTTTCCTTCCATCATAAGCTAGCTGTCGCTTGCCCAAGTGTGACTCACGGTACAATTCAACAAGCTTGTTAATGATTTCCTGATGGAGTTTTTTTTAATAACCTCAGGTGTGATTGATACTTATATATATCATTAAGTGAAATTGTGATTTAACCATAACAAGAATTAGTTGTAGAGAGGCAAATTACAAAACAGCAATGCCAATAGAAACAAAACTGAAACCAATAAACTACTATGCAACACAATACACAAAACTCAAAAAGAGCAGGCAAAATATTTCATAAACTATCTTGGTTCATAAAAACTTCTATTATTTTCATCTACATAAAACATGGACAAAAATAGCAATTAAAAAAAAAAAAAAAACTAAGCAAGCAATCAAAAATCAAGATTTTAACAGTAATATGTTAACCCATAAGACAAGGATATGAAATTGATAAACAATATAAAAACATGTATATGTTGTACTTGTCATAAAACAGAGGTTTGAGGCATTTCAAAAAATGGAAAAATACAAAAGAAATTTCAAATAGCAATATTCTCAGAGGTAATAAATGCATAAAACTAGCTTATACACACCCAAATACATACCAAAAAAAAAAAAAATTCAGATTTACATAAATACATAAACATACACACATTGTACATGATACAATATATACATAACATCAAAATGATTTCCATATGTGGATAAGAATGAAACAACCAAATGTTAACTTCATTGCTACTACTATTCTGTGTATAGCATCAGCAAATGATAAAGTTACATTCAGCAAAGCAAGTTGACAGGAATATAGACATAAAGGTACGAGAACTACATACCAAGTTACCAAATGCAACAACACCCTTCATGTGGTCAACTTTCATTGCAAGGAAATTATGTTTGACTGCATCGACAGAGATTTTCTCCACAACAGAAAATTCAAAAAAGGTGATCATTTTAGATAAATTCTCTATCTTCATTGACTGATACACCTAAGACACATGGAAAACAAGAAATGAAAAATATCAAGCACGATGAAAATAGTTTTTAGAAAATGCATAAAATTGGAAAAAAATAAGTAACGAAAATGAAACCTAGCACCCGTGTACCTGCTGAAGCAATCTTAGAGTGGCAAGCTTTTCCAGCGTGGGAATGTATTAAGATAGATGGACCTCTGGTACAGAAGATGCTGAAGCAAACTTACCCCCAAGTTTGGAAATTTTGGTTAACAAAGGTTGCATTTTTTATGCAAGATCTAGAGGGAGAAACTCATGCTCCAAAAGATGGTAAAGATCTTTTACTTCTTGAGTCACACAGGTCATTACACCTTTTGCAACCTGCCAAAATGTCAAGATCAGACAATGCTGAAAAGAAATCAACATAAACACTTTCCTCTGAAGCATTTTTTTTGCAACACAAAGTGCCAAACACCACCAAAGCTCCACATATCAAAATAACTCCTATTTTATGGCACTGATGAAGACACCTACCCACCTTGTATCCAACACATGCAACGATGCTCATATTTGGAACACGAATTAGAGGGGTTGGAAGATGGCATGAAGAGAAGGTAGGGAGGCTTACACATTCAAAAGATATTAGTTGGCGGCAGAGAGCTAGATCTATTTGGCTAAAGGAGGTTGATATAATCACCAGTTTCTTTAACAAAATGGCTAATGCACAAAGAAAAGATAATCACATCAGCAGGTTGAGTGTTGTTGGGAAAGTTTTGACTAGGGAAGAGGATATCTCTAAAACTATTGTGGAGTTCTATAGCAGGCTTGATTTTGAGCCAAATGTTGGGACCCTAATTGGAAAATTGGGGGTTAGTATGCTATAGGAGGACAGAAACTAGTTAAAAATACCATTTTCAGAGGAAGAAGTAATTGAGGCTCCTCAATGATGACTAAGCTCCACGGCCAAGCAATTCTGCATGCTTTTTTGGGACAAGAGTTTGAGATGAGTACGAATGCCTCCTCCATTACCCCATGTCAAATAAAAGGGTACAGTGGACATTCAAGATTAAGACCTATTAAATTGATTGACGGTGTCTATAAAATTATTGCCAGTGTTAGCATTGAGATTGAGGAAGGCAATTGCACAGCTCATCTCAGAATCCCATAGTGCTTTCATGCGAGGAAGAGTGATTCTTGTTGAGTTAGTGGCTAATAAGTGTGTTGATTCCAGCCTTAAAACTATTAATCTGGCGATCATTTGCAAGTAAGATATTGAGAACCATTTTAAGTGAATTTTTATACCCATTCACCTATGGAATGAGTATTACTCCAAGATGCTGAAGATGAACCTTAAGACCCATTCACCTATGGAAATTTTCAGACCCATTTTAAGACATTAAGAACCATTTTAAGTGAATTTTCAGAACCATAACCTATCCGCCATAACCACAGTTTGCCACTAGACCACAAACACCTTGGCCAGGGGTTGTGGTTGACAGGATCATAATATCACTAGCAAAATATAGTTCTAATAAAAATAAGCACGTCAAGAGACATTCCATTAGTGAAATAAATGTGTATTTCCCGCACGCATTCAAAATAGCATGCAATCACTATAAGAAAAAAAATTCAACTCACAACCCAAACCACAAAAAAAATAATAGAAAACAAAAAATGAAAAAAAACAAAAAAAATAAAAAAAAGAAAAAGAAGAAGAAGAAGAAGAAGAAGAAGAAAAAGAAAACCTCACTAATACAAAGAGGAGAGAGGATTATGATAGAGCAGATATCTTTGTGCTTACCAGTTCTGTGAGAAGAGATGACCGTGAAAGCTGTGGACAAAAAAAGGCAATCATTCACAATAAGAAAAATATATGTAGAAATTAACATGAAAGCATACCCAATCGAACATTACCACTTCTCTACTCTCAAGTTTAGGGTCGATAATGAACCCTATAAGGTTAGCCATCCCCAAATTCTGCTCTTTCTCATGTTCAAGCTCCAAATGATATATTATATAAACAAGGTCGGTCCCTCTGGTCTCTGCATTTATTCAGGTTGGCCAAATGATTCCTGATGATTTCACATAGCCTGCAAAACTCTGTTGTGTGTTTGTATTGCTTGCAGAACTGGAAGGCACGGTGTGCAGTCATCTACAGAAATCATAAAACAAAAAATTAAATAAAAAACTCGTTAGTTTTAACTGCTTAACAGGATTATCAAACATATAGCCTTACTACTTTAAAACATCTCTGGATGTGAATAAATAACTAGGCACCTAGTCTCCCTAAACCTGCCATACAAATTCTGCAATTGAACCCTCAATCCTCGTTTATAAAATATATCTAGACAAGGTTAGATAAATAACTAGGCGACAACAAATTCTCCCCATGAAAAATCCAACTGGTGTAACTTGGAAGAAATCCATTGATCATTAAATGTTCCCCTAACAGGCCCTTCTCCACCAATTTGACATTACGACACCGTTTACATGGGCATGTGACTTTATTCAACAATGGCTTATTTTTGCATGCAAATTTAATATAAGACTCATGTGAGAAGATTGTCTAGCTCTCTGATTAATTTATCTGTTCCTAACTTTTTCCCTTGTTAATCGTGAGTGCATAAATTCCATGCTTCATATGTATCAAGTAATTACTGAGCATAAGCACTGAATGGCTCTAGAGTTATGGTGATTTTAAATAACAATTTCAGAATATGTGCTAGTATCAACATTACCGTTATATGAGCTAATATCAAATAATATCGACCAATATATTAATAAATATTAAGAAATTTAAGTCTTGATTTAGTTTAGTATATATTGACTGATATTTAAAACTCTGGTTGTAAGCTTTTGAAGACTTTTTTCTTTTTGTTTTTGTTATGAAGAAGAAAACTACAAAGAGAGAGAGAAAAAAACCAATGAACTGAAGTTATTATATTACTAATTAGAAAATGTTGAGAGATCTATTTTCTAAGATAAGCCAATGCTACATTCTGCTATCCTAGTTGTTGGTAAGTCACTAAAATTTATCTTAGAACTGCATCCTTAAGAATACAAGAGGAAAGTAGGCATTACCTCTTAAATGCAAAGATGAGTACTTGCAAGGTTAGATTCAAAGTCTGCCACTCAAGTAGAAACTAGTGTTAGTCTTCTTGCAATTTATAGATTGCCTGAGGATAAAATGAAAGTACCTATAGTTAATGCAAAAAATAAATAATAAAAATAGTTTGGCTAAACCACTATTTTTACCTCAAGATAATACTTCAGCAAAAATGCTAGTTTAATTCGAGCCTGTCTTGGAGTTGGTGCAACTATACCTGAGGAAACCAAGGAACTAACTTAAATAGGTCCACATATGCTGGTTGAGAATGTTTCTAGTTCTCAGCCTAGCTCTGTCACTACTCTTGTGATTCAATATGTTATTGTTACAAAGCTTTGAATCTCATATCATTGAAGTCAGATGATGCGATCAATGTATGACAGATGATTCCAATCACAAACAAAAGGGATTCATATATATGATATATAGCATTAAACATATGCAAAAGAATGTGAGCTGGAAATTTGCCAACAACGAGTAATATCATCAAAATTGAATTGACTAACAGAAAAATATAATTAATATCTCATTCTCCATAGTTTCTTCTTCTAAAAAAAGTAATGAAATAACTAGTGCCTGATGCCAATACAGTAATTCTTCATTTTTCCCAAAGATCACAAATAGAGCGAGACAGAGAGAAAGAGAGTATCGATTACAGTTTAGAAACAAAGTAGACTATTCGCCACCATTGGAACTTGAAATGCGAGTAATCGAGGGATTAGAGTTCATATCTGAATCTTCGAAATTGCTTCAATGGAGAGCTTCGAAATCGCATCAATGGAGCTTCAATCTGAATCTTCGATGAAGCTTAGATCTGAAACTTCAATGGAGCTTCGAAATCCCTTCGATCTAAATCTTCGATGAAGCTTAGATCTGAAACTTCGATGGAGCTTCGAAATCGCTTCGATCTGAATCTTCGAAATCGCGTCAATGGAGCTTCGATCTAAATCTTCGATGAAGCTTAGATCTGAACCATCAGGAGGTTCGAAATCGCTTCGATCTGAATCTTCGATGGAGCTTAGAGAGGGTTGAGAGAGAGAGAGAGAGAGAGAGATCTGTGCGTATGTATTAAGGGTTGAGAGAGAGAGAGAGAGAAAGGGCTTTGATTCAAAATAAGGTTTCACTTTCACAAAAGGAGGTGCCTGTGCGTACCGCATTTGGATTATAAAACGGTGTCGTTTTGTTTAATAGAAAATGCGGCATTTATAAAATGCCGTTAAATACTAATAACAATGACGTTTAAAAAAACGTCGTTAAAAAAAGCCACCAAATCTGCTTTTTCCTGTAGTGATTCTTTTCATTCTTTTGAAACAATCCAGAAATAGATACATGTATCTAAAGTTATACATCTCATCTTCGTATGACAAAAATCACGTACATCTAGACTCGAGCTAATCATCATTCCCATTCCTTCTATTAAACTTTGAGCTGAGAGTCACTGGACATGCAACTCCTAATAAGCCAAACTTGAATGACCAGCAAGATCATCATGACTACATGATTTATGTTCCAATTACTTTGGACATTACTTCACCTAGTGGACGTCATTTTATACACATGTTGTGTAGCTTTATGCCTACTTTCAGGTCCACAACTAGAAGTCATAGTCAAATATTCAAATTTAGTGACCCAAAAACTATGTTACACGGATTCTTCAAAATAAATTAAATATCTGTGTCAGACAGTCGATACTCAGACAAGGATATGAGATATGTGTCGGATACTTTTCAACAAATACTTCTTATTTGATTGTATATAACACTATTATTATATAATTGTTATAAATGCCTTTTTGTTACTGTAAGTTACATATAATACTATTTTATCTCACATACTAGATTAAAAATATAAAAATATGATATTTTTTTTTGTCGAGTCCGTGTACTTTTAAAGTTATGGTTTGATGAATCTGACCTCTAGATACATACCCACACCTAGGCACCCGTACCCTAGTCCATGTACCATGGCCACAAAACAAAAAAAAAAAAAAACAAAACAAAACAAAAAAATGGAAAAGAAAAGGGCAAATTACATATCCCCCTTGAGGTTTGGATAAATTACAAATACCCCCCTGAGGTTTGGGAAATTACCTCCCGCCCCCTGACAATTAACTCCGTTAACCCATACAATAAACTGACTAAAATGCCCTCATGTCAAGTCAAGTACTTGCATTTTATATAGGTTCAACTTTTTTTTTGAACCAGGTTCAACTAAACTTCACTTTCTTCATTTCTTTATCTGAGAGAGAGACGGAAAAGGCATTGCAAAGAGGAAAGTGAGATCTTTATCTGAGAGAGAGACGGAAAAGGCATTGCAAAGGGGAAAGTTCATTGTTGTTTATTGTTGGATGCATAAATCTAAAAGAAGAAAAGACTACACAAAGAAGTTTAGATCGTTGATTGAAGAAAAATCTGAAATTTGTAAGTGATCCATTTTTACGCTCTCATACTAAGCATTGAAATTTGGGGGTTTAGGATTCTTTGTTCATGATTTTTTTTTTTTTATAAATTTTTTTTTAGGATTATTTGCTTACGAAATTTTGTGAGTCTTTAATCGATTTTTTTGGGTTTGTATTTTACCCTGTTAAAAAAAAATTAGGGTTTAAAGGTTTGTTTTCAATCTATTTTAGATTTTTTTTTTGGGGGGTTTCTTTCTACCTTTTTTTTTTAATTAAAATTTTGGGGTTATAGGGTTTGTTTTCAATTAGTATTTTAGGGAATTTTTTTTTTTATATTTGTTTTCTACTCTTACTTTTACTAAAATTTTGGGTATGTTTCAATTAGTATTTCTGGGAATTTATTTGGTTTGTTTTATACTCTTTCTTTTTCTAAAATTTCGGTTTAGGTGGATTTTTTGGGTTTATTTTCTACTCTTTTATTTACTAAAATTTTGATGTTGTAATGTAAGCTTGTTATGCAGATGCCTTCTGATATTCATGAATTTTGTGATGATTTTTTTGTATTTAGGACAATGGTTGAACCCATGCTTCATGACATACTAGTACACTTTAATGGTTCTGTAAGTCACATTTTGAATGTTAATCCTTACAAGTATAACTACATGCAATTGTTGGCTAATGCTTGTGAACCTGCACTCACTAATGTACCTGGGAATTTTGGTGTGGGATTAAATTTGTACTTTACAAACACACATACTAAGAGTAAGATGAAGGTTAAATCTGATCAGGATGTCATTGAAATGTTTAGTTCAAATTATGGTACTAAGGTGATTAATATTTTTTTGGAACTTGATTGACTTTTACCTTCATTTGTCGTAACTGATACTCCTACTAGTGGAGAGGGACACGTGAGTAGTAGTGGCACAAGTACAAGAGGTGGTGTGGTTAGTAACCTTGGAAATAGATTGGTAGTATCTGATGATTTATTTAGCAATGTGGATGACTACAATGATGTTGATTGGACTGAGTTAGGGGATTTTGAATTTAGTGAAGCAGATGCTAATGAAGAAAATGCTTATATCATTAGTGATGAGGATAATGAGGACACTTCAGATAATAATGAGGGTAGCAATGGGTTAGATAAACCAATTGAGGCTAATGATGAGGGGATATCAGACTATGAATCTAATGATATAGGAGGGAATTATTCGACTGATGAAGAAGATGTGCAAGGTGTTAATGTTGACAGATATATGAGGGAGAAAATGTTTGAAATAAAGGAAGGAGAGAAAATAACATTAGAGAAGGGAATGATATTTGATGATGTGTATCACTTCAAGACTGTGCTCCAGGAATTTGCAATTGAGAGAGGTGTTAAATTGATTAAAATAAAAAATGACAAGAAAAGAGTGACTTGCATATGTGCTTCCTCGATGTGTGAATGGAGAATTCATGCTTCTCCATTACCTGTTGGGGTGACATATAAGATTAAGACATTGGGCCTCGACCATACATGCGTTAGAGTAGAAAGGAATACTGAAGCAACATCATCTTGGATTGCTAAGAAGTTTGAAAAAACTCTTAGAGGGAATCATGGGATCACTCTAGAGGCAATGCATGATGAAATGGTAGAAAATTATAGATTGGAGACTACAAGGATGCAACTGTACAGAGGAAAGAGGAAAGCCATGGAGGCAATTGAGGGTAATCATGCAGAGGCTTACACCAAACTTCCAATGTATGCTGCAGAACTGTTGAGGACCAATCCTGGTAGTTTGGTCAAAATTGAAAGGGAAAGAAAGCCACCATCTAAGCCAAACTTGCCTCCTCCCTTACCAACATTCAAAAGAATTTTTCTTTCATTTGCAGCCATACAACATGGCTTTAAAGAAGGTTGCAGACCTTTCATAGCTGTGGATGGGTGTCATTTGAAGGGACCATTTGGGGGCATATTGTTGGCTGCAGTTGGTCTTGATGGAAATAATGGTCTTTATCCTATTGTAATTGGTGTGGTGGAGAGTGAATGTAAGGATAGTTGGGCCTTTTTCCTTTACCACTTGAACACCATTTTTGGTAATGGCCCCCAAAACATGCCATTGACAATCATGTCTGATGGTCAAAAGGGCATTGAGCCAGCCATGAGACAAGTAATACCCCAAGCAACACATAAGAGGTGCTGTAGACACATTTTCAGCAACTTGAAGGGCAAATTCCCTGGTTTAATATGAAAAGAGCCTTTTGGGCTATAGCTAAAGCTTACATTGTCAAGGATTTTAACATTGCAATGGGACAGATGTTGGAGTTATCTTCTGAAGCACATAGCTGGCTTTCTAAATTTCCAGTTGAAATATGGGAAAGACACACATTTGATCATAGGGTGAAGAGTGAACATGTTACTAGCAATATGGTTGAGTCATTTAATAATTGGATTGGTAATGTTAGGGGTAAACCTATCTTGACATTGTTGGAAAATATCAGATTGAAACTGATGAACAAGTTACATAAGAGGTTTGAAGAGGCAGCTTCATGGCAATCTTTGGTAACCCCTAACATTAAGAAGAAATTGGAGGAAGTGGTTCTTCAATCTAGACTTCATAAAGTGACTTTTGCAGGACAAGAAGAGTATCAAGTGGCTGAAGGTGTGGTGTCTTATATTGTAAACCTACAAAGAAGGTCATGTTGTTGCAGGATATGGGACATAAGTGGAGTCCCTTGCAAGCATGCAACAGCTTGCATTACTCATAAGAGGATAAACTTGGAGACCTATTGTGACACAATGTACTACAAACACATTTATTTTAAGGTGTATGGCGAAATTATACATCCAATGCATGATGAGAGTTTATGGGGTCCAGTTCTTGGAGATGAGTTGAAGCCTCCACCTCTTAAGAGGATGCCTGGAAGACCTAGAAAAAGTAGGAGAAGAGAAGTTGATGAGGCTGCACCATCAAAAAGATCATGCACTGTGAAGTGCATCATTTGCAAAGGGATTGGGCACAATAAAAGGACATGCCAGAGGGCACCTATTAGGGGTAGGGAAATGGGAACAAATGAGTCTGCTCAGAGAGGAATTGGTACTGTTGTTGAAAGGAGCACTATTGGAAGGTTCACAGCTACTAAGAGGAGCACTGTTGATGTAAGTATGAATGACAAATAATTATGTTATTTTATTTTATTTTTTCACATGGAATTTGAGGCCAACTAATCCACTTCATTTTTTAGGATCAAGGACAAGATGGGGTCCTGCCAACTCAGTGGAGCATGACTTGAACCATAGGTATGCATGTACTTGCATCATTCATAATACTTAAAATATATTCATTTGTGTTTATTAATTTGTTCTTTGTTTTTTTATTTTTCAGGTGATGTTTTTTGTCCAGGAATTGCTTTTTGTATAGGGGATGCTGGAAGGAACTAAAGATTAGGGTATACTTTTTTGTGTAATTAGTGGGTATACTTTTCTAAAAATGTCTTCATATTAGTACATATCAGAAGGCATGCATCCTTGCTCACCACAGGTTTTTGAATTGGGTGGGCTACTACTCTTTTATTGACTTGCAAAGTTTTTGTTGGACATGAATATGTAATTAACTTAGTATTTTAGACTTGTGTATCTGAATTTTTAAGTTAATATTTTAATTTCAAGTTACTTGGGTGCTCTTTTTTCATTCCTTCCATGTTGAAGAGGATTCCATGGTATTTATTTATTACCCAAAATGTAACTATTCACCCCAAAAAAAACTCAAAAAATAACAAATTAACTGAATAAGTTGCGAATACAAAATTAATTAATTTAATAATTTATGGAATGCAAAATTAAAATGGAGAAACATTTATCAGATGTTAAAAATGTCGTAAAATTAACAAATAATTAAATAAATTACTAACGTACGAAATGATTTATCAAAAAAAATTTAGGCTATGTATAATTTGATTTTTAGAAATTTGTTTTCGAATTTTTTTTTAAAAAAATAAAAATTAATTTGGTTAAGAAATAAAAAATAAAAAATAATTATCATTTTTATATAATTTTATCTTTAGAGTGGTTAGAAATAATTTTTTACAAATTAAATATATTTCTTTATATTTATTTTTATTAGATTAGTTTTTATTTTTATTTTTAAAAAGTTTGAATTTTTTTTTTTAAACAGCAAACCAAATGGTTGTGTTCAACGAAAATAAAATAAAAAATAAAAAAGAAAAAAGAAAAAAGAAAAAGTTCTTTGTGCTTTGGTACAGGTTGTCTGGTTGTGTTTAAAAATTAATAAATAAATAAAGGGGGTTGTTTGGCCCTTTGAAAGGTCCTAGGGGCAATATGGTCCACCAACATAAATTTTGGTGATGTCAGCACACTTTTGTAACGGCTTAGTTGACGGCAGGGGTCCAATTGTTACGCAAATATAAACCTCAGGGGGCGTGATGTAATTTTCAAAACCTCAGGGGAGTTTCTGTAATTTAACCAAACCTCAAGGGGTATATGTAATTTGCCCAAAAGAAAAAGAAGATGTTTGAGTGCAGTCATTTGCTAAAATACTGCAATGTTTGAGTGCAGTAATTTGCCCAAACCAGGCTTACCTCTCCTAACATCCTCGGTTAGAAAGGACCAGCTCTGGTAATATAAGATGCAATCCTGTGGTGCAGCTGCTTTCCAACGTTCTTTGTGTATTCTTTGTGGAACAGTCAACCTACTCAGGACGACATCATAAATATTGTTCACAAAACATATGAGAAAGATGGCATATCAAAGGATGAGGTTGAAAGCATAGTGAACACATTTCCTAATCAAGGTATGTTTAGTTGTACATAAGGTTTTGAGCACTATTATGTTTCTTTTTCTTTAATTAAAAAATTGAGCTAGTTGAAATGTTTTTAAGCTTCTATACTTTCTTCTAGTTGTATCATGTTGGAACTGGTTTGTATTTGGTAGAACAGCAAACGGTGGAAGCTTTACATGAATCGGGATATTCTCTTCTCAGAGAACAAAAAACTGATAATGGAGACTAAACTTTCAAAGGAATACATGAAAAATATTAATTACTAGCAAGTACCTGCGACACCACTGACATAATGCTCATCGTTACCATTATTTTGTTGCTATTTCAGTTTTAAAACTGTGGTCGTCGTCATGTTTTGAAGAATCTTTCAACTCAAATTTCAGTTTTTTTTTTTTTTGATTTGTTTTGTTTTATATTTGGTTTAAAAAAATTAATTTATATTTTAGTCTTTTTTTTTATATAAACTTTTTAGATGTACCTAAATGCACTAAAAAAAAATAAAATATGTGAAAAAATCTAGGAAAAAATGGATTAATTGGTGAAAAACCTATTCCTATCAGACCATATATTATTTAATTCAAGATTTAATCTTTTTTTATTACTATTATAAGAAAACACGTTGAAAAGTCATCAACACTGGAAATATTAGAGGAAATTTGGCCGAAAAAGTTGTCGAAAAGTTGCTAGCAAGCAACAACAGCCGATAGTAGTGAGGTGCGCAAATATGAGATATTGAATAAATAGATGATACATGTACAAATCGTGGGACATTTTAACAGATAGTTGGACAAATAGGTGACACATGTACAGATAACATTTGAACAAATAAGTTATATTTGAATAAACATGTAAGTTTTTGAATAAATAAGTATCCTTTCAATTCAAAAAGATTTAAGTAGCCAAAGAGTTTTAGAAATGGACCTATGGTCTAAGTGTCGCTACAACAAAAACACACTTTAGTGGTACTACGCTAGTTGCATGTTTGTAGAAAATATCACAAAAATAATATTTGATGACATGTTTTAGAAAAGTGCCACAGAACCACAAATATAAAAGGCTCTTGTGGCATTTTATTAAAGAAATATCACATCACTACAATAAAAATGTAATCTAGTAGCATCAATTTTATGGCATTTTATAAAAGAATGACACAAGAAATTGTTTTAGTGACATTTATCAATAGATGCCACTAAAGAAAAAAACATGGAAATATGTTGATTTTTTTTTCTGAAAAAGTTAATTAAGACAAACAAAAGAACAACACATATTTTCTTTTTTTTATATTTTTTTTTATCTTTAGTAAATTTTTTATATTTCTTTACAAATATTTTTATTGTAAAGTTCATCTAAAATGTGTGAAAAAAGTTTCCAAAAAAAAAAATTGAGAAACAAAAAACTTATAAACAATTTTTAAAAATTAAACCAAACAAAGTGAGTAATCACTACAAAAATTTAAGATTTTAGAGACCAAAATTTAAGGACAAAATTATTTTTTAGGGACCCAATAGTTTTGTTGTAAAAAGTGTTGTTATTATATTTTTAGCAACAAAAATTAGACATTGGTGATGAATTATTATCCTTTTGGGACCAAATTTTTGTCTCAAAAAATAAACCATTTTGACATCAAATTATTTTGTCCCTAAAAATCTATTTATTAGTGACATTTTTTGATACTTTAAATGTGAACAAGTTTGGATTATCGAATATCATTTACCCTTTCATCCACTCACATTTGTATTCATTTTAATACTTCAAATTACAATTGTTATGTATTTTTGTAGATACAAATGTGAGTGGATGAATGGGTAAACGATATTTGATTAACTTGATTTTTTGCAGCTATGTTTTACTTGATATATTCTAAAATGTGAATGGTTTGGATTATCGAAATGGACTCCAAAATAAGCCCATTTGATTGCACAGCAATGACTGTTGTGCACCTCATACAGCAGCCAACCCAAATCCTATATTTTAGAGCCTATATTAAGTCGATTGCAAATTTAGGCATAAAATGCCGTAATGTAAATATTTTTTTCTTTCTTACCTTTTTCTGTTTGCTATTTATTTTATTATTATGAAGACTAAAAATTGATTGTAAATAAATAGGAAAATAAATAGTTCAATGTAGTAAAATTACTTTCTAGTCAAAATAGTCATTTTTGGTGGTTGAAAACATTTTGAACAAGTTTTTCCGTTTGTAGCTAATTTTAAAGTGGTTATTTTCTACTGTGATTAACTTGGGTTTCAAAACTTGTGAAGGGATTAACTTAGAAAAAGAATATTTTGCCTATGTTGTGCTGTGTATTTGTGTGTGTGTGTGTGTGTGTGTGTGTGTGTGTGTTTTTTTTTTAAGTTGGTATTATGTCATTATATATAAATAATATAGTACAAAAAAATATTTATAAAATATATTTTTTTAATATAAAAATTTATCAAAAACACCAAAGGATATTTATGGTATTCATATAGTTAATTCCTTTACTAAAACATATCACAAACAAATACAATTTTTCTTAATCCCCTCACTAACAATCATCACACTAATAATCTCCTTACTAACAGTCTCCATACTAACAATCTCACCCTATCTAACTCCGAAAACAAATTGGCCTATCGAGTTAACCTCAATGGGTGGGCGACACTAATAATCCCCTTACTAATAATTTTCACACTAACAATCTCACCCAACCTAACTCCAAAAACAAACGGACTCATTGAGTTAACCTCAAGGGGTGGGCATGGGGCCTAAAGGTGTACTCCTTCTTAGGTCTGTGGTTCAAAAAATTTTATGTGCAAAAAATATTTTTTGAGCCAGGTGATACAGTGTTTTGCTCTAGTTTTAATTGGGACTCTCGCAAGTGAACGGTGAGATTGATCTCCCAAATTAGTCTGTCCAATGAGTCAGATATCGAGTTATAATAATAATAAAAAGGGTAAATTACACTGACACCGCCTTGAGGTTTAGTCTGATTACATCCTACCGCCTGACGTTCTGGAAATTACATTCCCACCCCTGTGGTTAATAGTCTCATTTCACAAATCTCCCCTACTTATATAAAAGGCAACAACTCTTGGTAGAAAAGCAAAGGAAATTACATTAAAAAAAAAAAAAAGAGTAAAACAAAGCAAAGGGGAAAAAAACAAAAGAAAATAAAAAAGAATGCATGAGTTCAATGTTTTCATTCCGTCTAAATAATTACAATGACAAGGGGGTCAGTGTAATTTCTCAAACGCCAAAAGTGATATGTATTAAACTCAAAACTCAAGGGGTGTAAGTGTAATTTACCCTAATAGAAAACATAGGCCCGAGTAAAATTATTTACTCACAATTCTTGAGTATTTTTTTTTAAATAAAAAATAAAAAAAAAAAACTTATTTGCCCCTTGTTTTGATAATTAAAAAAAAAAAATTTGAGACTTTTTAGATACATTTTATGTTTGTGAAAAAGTCATTTGGTACTGATAATCAAACTGATAAATAATAAATAATTGGAAT